GCAAAACACCAGTTTTTGTTGGGGAGAATTAAGAAAAAGAGCAGCATATTATATTCTGAGGACTCACAAATCTAGTATCTAAATAACAGTATCTGTCATTTATCATGTATTTACAATGAACCAACTGCAGAACCATGTTGTATTAAATCACTGGTCAAAAGAATCACTGAATTATTACACCCGTTTTACAGATGAGGAAACTGAGTCTTACAGTTGCAAACTAGTTGTGCTCAATTCATACAGCTAATGCATTAAACACTAATATTTAAACCCAAGTCTGGTTACTGCCAAAATCTATGCACCTAACCATCTTAGTGTATGTTTGCTCTATCTATTCATTTATCCTTCAACAGATGGTGATCGGGTAGTTAAGACAGATAAGGTATAGTTCAGGTGCTGATGATAAAGACAGGAACAAACCAGACAAAGTCCCTGCTCCTCTGCAGCTAACAATCCAGCTTGTGGAGATATATAATACACAAGATGCATATAGAAGTCATATTGTAATTAATGTTATGGAGAAAAACAGAGTAGGTGAGGGGGCTATGGAGTATCCATATAAGGTTGATATTAATATAAAGTCAATGAATAATGTCTTACTGCAATATTTAAAGCATTGCGGGACTTATATGCTTCCAAGACCTTGACGTTACTTTAGGAGAATACCAAGTTCCTACTTATAATGAAATTCAAGTCACCGCAAAGAGCTTTGTACCCATTTATCCCTCTAAGTTTGAAGTAGCTTTGAACTTGCAAGGACAGTGAGCTTCCTAACATATGAGTATATATGGCAGTAGCCAGGTTTGCAACTCCCATGAGGCCTAGCACATCACTGTAGGCATATAGAGAACTAAAAACACAGGAAATGAGAATTAAAAAAAAAAGTTTATAAACCATCTTAAAGGATGAGTGTGATCAAATTAAAATTACTTAACCAATAAATGCAGAGCGGAACATGGTCATCCATGATAGACTTTGATTTATTATTAATCAGTATATTCTACTTTATAGAATATATTGGTCAATTTAATAGCTATAATATTATGTATTTGCAATATTATATTGGTCAATATAATATATGGGGGGAAGGGATTACAAAGAACTGACTACCTTGACTCAGCTTAAACACAAGAGTGGATCTAGGGCAAGTATGATACAGTTAGCTTGACAAAACCAAAGATAAAGATCAGGCAACTCCAGGTGTCTCGCTGGACCCATGTGTGTTCCTCTTTGGGTGATATGAATATGGCTTAGCTTCAATGAGCCCCAACTTTTGATGATTCATTAGATTTTCAAACATCCAAGAGAGACACCGTAAGTGACCAAGCTTGCACTAAGTGTCTCCACCTCTGGCTCAGCTGCTGTTGGTCTGGAGGATGGGGTGATGCTTCCGAAACCCATCTGATAGGAGAGTTCCTCACAGCCTCTACTTTAGTTGGTGCCACCGTGTTAGTTTTCACTCAGCACAATTTCCGCTGTGCCCAGCAGAGCTCCTAGCACATGACAGATGATTAAAAAGCATGCATTAAAGAAATAGTTCTCACTTTTCAAGGTAACCGCGTGCTAAAACAGTGTGTTATGAGCACTGGCACATGAAGGAGTAAATGTTCTCATTTCAAAAAGTTCCACTGAATCAGGCAATCCTATGAAAATTGGTTAAAAACCAAGCAAGAATCCTCTTTTCACTGCTTCATAACTCACATCAAAGCATTTAAATGTTCAATATTGCCAAAAAACACAGTTCTTGAAAACTTTATTTATTGGATGTTTTAATCAATGAATTGAGCATATTTATTAATCAGGTAAATATAATAACGAGTAATCAGTATTCACTTTAGCTGCACAAAAGTCAGTAGGTAAAGCAGGGTTACTGAAAGTATGTAAGTATATAAGCAAAGGATGCTTCAACTGAAGAACATACATGTTTTGGTGCTTTGTCTCCTCTGAGGAGATCAGCCTCAGGATTCAGTTCTCTGGCTGCATCATGCAGTGAAAGCAGCAATCTGCTATACTGGTTACCTCGGTAGTCCAGACTCACAAGAATTGCCAGTATCTATCATTATAAAGACCAGTAAAATTTCAGAGAGACAGCTGTGAAAAAGATTATAATAAACGCTTAATTTTTATTTTGCTATATAACTATTTTGATATTTGCTTTATAAATCTGAATAAAATCTAGGGGCAGAAAATATTTCCACTATTTACTAATGAAAAAACTGAGGCCCAGAGAAGCTAACTGACTCCCCAAAGTAAACAGAAATACTCATCTATAGAACTGAGGTTCGGAATCCTCTCTGACTGGCTCTGAAGCCCATGTTTCTCCCTTTACATTACTTCTGTTAGGTCCTTGTTTGTTAATAAAGACCTGAGAGACTGAGTTTTTTTGTTTTAAAGGCTTTATTGAGCCAAGCCTGGCGTCCGCCTCACTCTGCAAGAAGAGAACGGCCCCGAGGTCTTGGCAGGTGGAAGTTTTATAGGGCTTGATTTTTGGGGTTTTGGGCAAAAGCAGAAGCAAAGCAGGTGTACAGAAGCAAAAAGAGCAGTTAGCTCTTGTGAAATGTTCCAAGCCAGTTGTGACAAAACTACTTCTATAAAATTTTACTGTTGCAACCCATTTCTTATAAATCTAAGCTTTTACTGTACCCAGTTCTTGTAACATTAAGTTTCCACTTGTTATTACCACGCTCTGGTGTCTTAACAGGATACTCTGTTATGTTTAGCTGAAGCAGCTGAAGTGTGGCTTGCTCTTATTCCTAAAGGCTGGTGTATCTAAATGAGCCCATCTGGCCTAGAGTCCGGGCCGGGGTCCTCACACCTTCTTTCCAATAAACATTCAAAATGGGACTTGAGATGTTAATGTATATCTTTAAAAGGGTACCAGGAGAAATATCACAAAATCAAGTTGCCAGCAGTTGGAAAAGTGGAGGTTACTGAATAGCCTTAAACCAGATCATCTGCTTGAGAAACAAATCCTGAGACTAATAATGGTATCCATCCTGCAGTTACAGAAACTCTTGGGAAGCCAAAAGAAATTATTTTTACCAATGGAAAAAAAAGAGTTGCCCAAAGAATTGCAAAAGACAGCATCACCTTAAACTGTAACTTTAAGTAAAATAGTCTTCTGCAGGCTAACTTTGAATTCTTGCCACAAGTATTTTAGACGATAAACAATCTAATAATAATATCAACCACTATGACATCCACAAATTCATTCTTTTGAAATCTTGCAAAGACATTTTCTAATAGTGGCCTTGTGGTCTCTTGTTTATATAGAAAGATGAAGAAACTGTTGTGTGGTTGGTAATCTGGTTGAGAGCCCAGACTATGTCTTTTACTCAGTATGAAACAAAGCCAGCATCTAACATGGCATCTGGCATATAGCAAATATTCAGTAAATGTTGAGTGAACACTTTTTCATTGTATGGGATAGATTTGGACTCATCAAGTCACATTGTTGCGCCCTGTCACTGATGGAATTGGAGAGCTACCTGCAGAAAGCCGCTGTGCAGGAAGTGTCTGTGGAGCAACCAAAAGTTGAATGGGCCCAGGTGGGGATTTAGCCACGGTTAAAAACCACATTGGCAATAGCACCAGGCCTTCAGGAGGTTTTGCCAATTAGCTTAGATGTGAAAAGAACATAGGACGTAGAATCAACTGAATGTGTAGCACAGTTCCAACATGTCCTGATTATGTGACTTCTGTGAAAACCAAATGAGATAATTGATTGAAAAGATCTTTAAGTTTTAAAGTATTTGACAAAGGTTGGTAATTAACATTTTGGCATGTATGCCTTAAAATCATGTTTCCATTAGTATCTCTCTTTTAACATTTTTGAAACATGGTCTAAATTCTGTTAATGAATCTACAGTCCTCTATAAGGATGAGTATTCTGAAAATTTTGAATGCATTTTATCCGAATGTTGTTTAGAAATGACTACCTGTAACTAAATGATTTTGCTGTCTCATCCCTGTGTTCTAGAGCCTTCACCCTCCCTTTCCCAGTGAGACTTTGAGAAGACAAGAGTAGACCAGAAAGAGCACTGAGAAAGAGTTCCGAGGACCTGAATAACTGCTACCTGACCTTAGGGAAATAACCCAAGTTCCCTTAAATGCCATTCACATAACATGACATGGGATTTACCCAAAAAAACTCATAATATAACTGTGAGGATCAAATAAGATGGTGTGTTTCATAGAGAACCATACAAATGTAAGATAATATTATTGCTGAATATCAATTCACCATTTTTTTTCAGACATCAATGGCAGAATCCTAGATGAATCCATATTTCTCCCACAACATGTACATCTTATAGGTATTGGCTTATGCGTCTGTACCCTCCAGTACAGGCAGCGTGGTTTAATTTTTGTAGTGTCTCTACAAGAGCTTCTGTTCATGTATATGTCAATCTTTCAGCAAGTATTACTAAATGCCATAATTAAGTGCGAGTTACGCTGAGGGATGTGGGTACAGCAGTGAGCTAGATACCCTGTCCATTTTCCTCACAGAACAAAAATACCCAAAGAATGTGGCAAAGTCACTTTTTACTACTCAGTGCTTCCCTGTGAGATAAAGTGTTTGGAATATGGGGAAATTGCATTACAGCTGAAGAGAAGTCACAGAAAGCCCAATACCACCCAACTCCAAGAAATCTCTTCTTCTCGAAGCTATTAGCTCCACTTTCCCACTTGCACATTTTGATGAGATAAAAAATAGGCAAAACATGCAGGTTGACCAAGTTCTCATTCAGATAGCCTACATTATAAAAGCAACATTGCTGGGATCGCCTGAATTTTGCAATTAGCATTAAATGCTATTTAGAAATAGCCTAATGCCATGCAATGGAACGTACCTGAACTTGCAAATGAGAAAGGAAAAGGGTTAACTGAAAGTTTGCTAAAATATCACCTCCACTTTTGTTCATGGCCCCAAAATTATGTGATAGGCACATGCCCAAAACTCTTGGTTTCAAAACATCATAAAAATTCCTTCAACTCACCTTGATGTAGAAACAAACAACTTTGTTAGAAATCATGTTCTCCCTGGAATTTGAAGGGCAACGATGGATGACATTAATGACATTCTGTTGTATGTGGAACCGGTATAAAAGCTGCAAACATCTGACAAAAGACTCCCATCCCTAAATGGCAGAAATTATTGAAACCACAGGCGTGCAGCCTCCTCCCTGGGAACCTTTATCAAGGAACAGTTGGAGGTGGGCTTTTTGGAGCAGACTGTAGTTACCTTCAATTCATGCTGGTCAGGTCTTTTACCAGGAGAGTTTTGCTTTCGGTATTTGTATAGTGCAAGCAGGCAACTGTTTACCTCAGGCCATGAGAGCCAATCCGGTGCTTTGCAATCAGTGTGCCACAGGCAGCTCTGTTGCCCATGGAAACAAAGGCTTCTTTGGGGGAGGGAGGGTGCTCTGCAGGGGGCAAGGCAGAAAATAATCCCATCAATTTTGGCCAGTGTCCTATTTGAAGGTGTTTTTGCTAATGTGAACAACAGCCACAAAATATTTGTACAGGATTACAATATTTTACAGTCATTTAAAAACTTGGTTTTGAGTTCTCTAAATTGTTTGCGGTAATGGCCTTCACTCCTTTCAATAAATTTTTCCTAAGTGAAGTAAATGTTCAACTGGGACTGCCTTGCATGCCTCCTCCTGCCTCAGCACAAAGAGGGAACATGTTGATGCTGATACGAATGGAGGGTCCTCAGATTGTGGCATTAAGAAGAAAGCTTTGGAGATAGATTAAGGCTGGACCTCAATGCGTGTTTTAAAATGTCATGAAAATGGCCTGGATTAGAATTTCATAAATGTCTTCTATCATTCTTCCAACATTCAAAATATAAATTAAATCTCATGCTAGATTTCATTCTTAATAAACATGTCTGGGAATTAGCAGCCTGGCCTTTCCAGCGGCCTTGTAATTAGCTCCCTTTGTGCCCAGATAGCAGAGTGGAAGATGAATTGCCAAAGAGATAGGGAATGAGAAACCATCAAGGACATTATGACAATAATCTAGTGAGTGATGCAGAAGCCAAAGGAGACAGGGATGGGAAAGAGAAAGAGAGGGAAATTCGTATTGATCTATCACTTCACTTTCACCAAGATCGGGGACAGAAACTACCTGAGTTATGTCCTGTAACCATCCTAATAAAACTGGGAGATACATACTATTATCCCTGTTTTACACTGGGGATTTCAGAGAGAACTGTGGAGGTGAACTTCATTGGTGTCTGAATAAATATGTAAGTGAAAGAAAGTAACTTTTCAAAACTGTTTCTAAATAGTCTCACTGAGTCAGATTACACCTATTTTTGTTTTTGTTTTTGTTTCAATTGCTGTGCCTGCAATTCTGAAAGCATGGATGATGCTTAGGAAATAGTAATATTTTTTTCAATGAATTATGACATTCACTGAAATTGAAATATGATCACCTACATTATGGGTTATGTTCTGGGCATAATGTCGAGCCTGGTGGAGATTGGGTTGTGAGAACAGACTCACTGTTGTTTCTTGAACATCTTTATAACCTGAATTCACTTTCCTTGAGATTCAGTTTTGATATCCCTGGAAAGAATAGAGTAAATCCATTTCTGTTGTACAACAAAGGAATATCTATGAGAACAAACAAGGCAAAAAGTAAAACTTGAGTTTCCTGAGATATATAAAGTATGTGAAAAATATGGTGATTTTCTTGTATGGGTTATGAGACAGGAAGACCCTCTGGATGCAAGTCTGGGCTCTTCCACTTAGTAGCTGTGTGACTCTGGGCCTGTTCATATTTCCTTACTTCCAACCCAGGGATTCTATTATTTCCCCCATAGAGTTGTGGTGAAAAAGCTATATTAGGCAAATGCTGATTTAATCACCACCTGAGTTGCATGTTGTAGAAAAAAATTATCAAAACTCTCTGAAACACTGAAGAATATGGATAACAACTGAAATAATATATGCAATAAATGTCAATGTAGTTCAAGATGCATTTATTGGTACCTATTTTATGAAGTATGTGGTAACATACATATACAAAGATAAATCAGGCATCATCTCTGGCCTTGAAGAGCGTATCATCTCGTGGGGACAAAAACCTTAAATTATTTCAATACTATGTAGTAAAGCTATTAGAGAGATCTATGCATAAGATATTACACGATAACAAAAGAGAGATAGTTATGATGAATTATAGACTTCCTGGAGATAAAAATTAATCAGAAAGTTAAAGGATAAACACAATTAAGAAAAGCAAAAATTTTGATAAATGTTTTGTAGGTAGAGCAGGTGCAATGTCAACCTTAAAGAGATACTAAACCGCAAAGTGCAGAGAAATGTAAACAACATAGTTTGTGCAAATCTGTAATACCAAGTCAAAGAGATTAGACTCCATCTTATAGGTGGTGAGGACTTACTGAAGAGCTTGAAAAAGGAAAGTCATATGGACACTTTTTTTTCTTTTTTTTTTGGAAAGAACACACTGGCGGCATGATGGGGGATGGACTGGCTGATGAAGTGGGAAAGAAGGGGCCCATCGAAGGTAAAGAGTTAGGATAGTTAGCTATTTCGTCAATTCATCCCAATGAGAATGAGCACCTGCTTGAATTTGTTATCAGATGGTTGTAGTGCAAAGTAGAAAATAGATTTCAGAACATTTTAGGAGGTGAGATCAGGATGATTTTGCAATTGGTTGGATGTGATGAGTAAGGAAGAGGACTAATGGTAACTTCATTATAGGGAGACCAGACGGACAGTGATGCTTTTCACAAAGGTATACAAATGTGGGGGAAAAGGAAAACTGGAAGACAAAATTATAAAATATTTTCAAGAAGAACTTATTAAATAGTGTTTCTACAATGTTTGGATGGAAATGTGCTGCAAGATTTACATTTGTCTCTCACATGCATATATGAGTAAGAGACCCATCTAAAGAGAAGAGACTCATATCCAGCAGATTAAGATTTAAAGTGAACAAAGTAGTAGGCTGTGAGAACGGAATACAAAAACCTCACCACTGCTTAAGTGGTATGCAGAAGACACGCTCCTGGGAGAAACTTGGAAGTAGAGGTCAGAGAGGATAAGAGGATAACTGGTCCCACAGAAAGAAACTAGGAGTTTCCAGAAAGTCAAAGAGCTTATATATCCAGACAATAAAAGTTATTGCTGTAGGCTTTTATTCTGGGAATATAAAAGTTGAAACATGTTCATTGGTTGGTGACCTTTGCCAGAGCAATTTCAGTTTGTTTAGCACAAGTGTTAACTGTGGTGAGTTGCACCATAAACGGGAAATGAGGAAGTGAGGACAATGTGTATAGACTACCTTTTCACAAAGGAGAAAACGACAAGGAGGCTGTAACCTCCTTCCAAGATCAAGACAGGAAGTACAAGATCAAGACAGGCAATTTTTGGATGGGAGGGATCTGAGGACATTTAGAAGAAAAACACACTAGAAAGGGGGAAGCTTGGGAAGGAAGTGCTGGTGGTGAATGATAGAGCAAGGTCAGAGGGGGCAAGAGGGGCTGTGCTGGAAAGCAGCAGGAGAGGAGAGGAAGGAGAGAGACTTCACCTTGAGACTAAAAAAGGCACATAGATACTATGTCCAATTCCACTTAGACTTGTGGCATTAGACAATGTATTTAACTGAATTCCCAATAATATTATCTCCCCACATACAGTAAGTACTTTAAAGTTAAACAAGTAATACACAGAACTTTTAGTCCTGTTAATATTGGATTATAAGTGAAGATGAACAAGGTTTTGTGTGTGTGTGTGTGTGTGTGTGCGCGCGCGCGCGCACACGCACGCGCGCATGTGGAAAAGAGAAGCTAAAGAAAATCAAACCTATGTCCTCAATTTTCTTAATGTCAGTGATATTTTCTTTCTCTTTGCTTCTCCCTTTGTTCACATTCCTTAGGCTAGAGTTGGGATGGGAGGTACACAAAAAATGTGTTTCTAGAAATTTCAAAGTTCAAGTCAAAACTTATTGATCATCTGTGATATTCAAAGTACCCTACCAAGGGAGAGTATGAAAAAGTTAATTAAGGCAGAGACCTAGGTCTTTTGAGCTCACAATCTCATAGGGCAGAGAGGTAAATATACAAACACCTAAAGGAAAAATACATTGTCACCTAAGTTTGCATCTTTTACCCCTTTAATAGCAAAACAGAATCCAGTTATTTTATAATCACTCTATTTCAAGGTCTGAGATATTTGGAACTCTTGATATGTATGTGATGTGTAGAAATATTTTACATACATGAAAGAATAAGTAGCCTAAGAGTTTTGTCAGACCACAGGAAGTGTGACTTTTGGGCCTAAGGGGAAGGGGGGCAGGGGCTGACAGGAGTCATTGTAATGATTTATTGATAAGTGATGATGTGTAGTTGTAGATCAAAGAAAGGCAGAGTCAGCTCTTAATAACAAAAATTCCATTCTAAGGGTATCTTGCATTTTTTATATTTATTTCAGAGATAAAAATAAGATGTAGGCAGGGAGAATTGCTTTCCCTGAAACAAGAACTTTTACAAAGTGAAAAACTTGAAATTAGATCATACATCAGCATGAATAAGATAGCCTAGCATGTCCTCCACTTGCAGCTTTGGTGCCTTGGTAATACACCTGCCCTTGACAGAGCTGTGCATGTGAAAATAAAGACCATCTTCCTCAGATGGGGTTCTCTCTTGCTTAGGGCTGTGTAAAATTTGCAACTCTAAGATTATTTTCAGATTAGAAAATAGTGTGACCACACACTAAGCTCTGCAGCCTAGTTGTGGAATATGTGGGGAAAAGATTCACATGTGTAAGAACATCTCTTATTCAGTACATCTTACGGATACAATGTATTTAAAAAAATAGATTTCTAAATGTATAACATTTAAATTAAATGCTTATCTTTACCAAATTTATCACCATAAAATGCCCAAGTACACATACTAGTTTGATTTTCAAATTCTTTGTGAAAAATAAAGTGTTATACAAGGTAGAGCTGGTGATTTCCAGTGAATCATGCAATAA